CTGTTCGAAATAATTGCGCATAAAGGTGTTCCCATGAAATATGTGGACATCTTACGTGCTCTATACTCGAACACTACAGGTCGCATCTGGGTCTACAGTGATCTGTCGTATACCTTTTCGACAACAAGTGGCGCTCGTAAGGGTTATCCGACTTTCCCGTTTTCGTTCAATTTCGTCATGGACTCTATCATGTTCTCTTACGGAATGTCACGATGTAGGCGTTGAGGTCCTGCCTGGTGAAAGGCTAGTTGATCTTGATTATGTCGACGATATCGTACTGCTTTTGACGATGTTGGGGCAGCCCAATCAACCCTGAATAGCTTGTCGAAAGTGGTCCCATTATTTGGTATGCGTTGTGCACCTTCAAAGTGCAGTGTTGCTGTAGGACAACTAACCACTTGATGACCCCTAGACCCTTGATAACGAGGAACTCGAGGTAGTTGATCAATTCACTTATCTTGGCAGCTGCATCATCAACGATGGATGCGTAGAGAGTGAAGTCAGTTCATGCATTGCAAAATCCAGAATTGCCTTCTTGAACCTGCGGCATCTTTGGCGACAGAAGGGAGCTTCTCTCCGTCTGAAAGACTGTGTTTACAAGGCCACGGTGAGGGCCAACCTATACTATTGTGGTTAGACGACCCCTTCGTTCTGAAGATCTGAGGCGCCTTTGATCATTGTTGTCTGCGGAGCATTTCTGGCGTTGGGTGGCACCAGCGTGTCAGAAAGAATGATGGGCGTAGGGGATTACTAGGCAGTGATAATCAAGCTAGTTCCTTAGAACAACGGATAGCACTGAATAAGTTGCATTGCCTTGGGCACGTACTACGTATACCTGGTCACCGCTTACCTAAGAGGGCCTTGTTTAGTCTGCCAGATGTAGGGTGCTGCAAAGCTCGAGGTGAACAAAAATTGACTTGGTAGCGGAAAATGAAGTCACTGTCGACCAAATTCGGTGCTGTCGGTCTGTCTAGTTTTCCGGACTGTAGTCCACGTGACCCGCCTTGTGTTTGGCCCGCGGTCGACACCAGCAGCGTTTCTGCTGTTGTCTCATAGTAGGATTGCCTATTCAAAGTGTGTTTGGTGCTGAGTTAGCTACGGGATAATGACTGATTACTAAGCGGGGCAGTGAAAGCCGCAAGGAAGCTGTCTCGTTGATACCGCCTTATCTTTGCACGATAACCAGTTGTTGTCCCTTGGATCGTAACATATAACATGGACCCACTGGTATCAGCACTACGCCAATACGTCGTACCGACGCTTCGATGCCACATAAAGACGAGAGTCGCCCAGTTCACTACCCAGACTACAGCCCCTGACGTCCGGGTTGCGAGGACTTGTACCCTCGGCCACAAGCCGGCAACATGGACCAAAAGTGATGTGCAAAGGGAAAAGAAGAACTAA